TGTACATCCAGTAGATAGAGGGAAAAAATAAACATTAAGTCTATAGTACATCATACTATATGAAGAAAAGCAGAGCAGGGAAAGGGGACAGGGTGTAGCTGAGTGGGTAGGAAATATGCATTTTGCTTTTTAAAAGATTTATTTACTTATGCATTCAGAACTAGAATACAGGCCAGAGGTGCAGGGGCGGTGAGAGGACTCACCAGAGACAGCAGGCAGCAGAATAGGCAGAGTGATGAAGTACACTGCTGAGGGGAGCAGAGGGCGGGCCAGGAGAGGTCTGCCATGTGCGTCAGCTTCCTGACTGGGATTGAATTTGTGCTGAAGCAGCTGCAGCTAGCTTTGTAGCCCTGCACACCAACTCATTGTACCACCAGGGAGGGCCTGAAATATACATTTTTTAAAAAGGATGGTCAGAGAAGTCACCTTCATAAGAGATATTTGGGTAAAGACTTAAAGGAAGTGGGCCTCCCTGCTGGCTCAAGGGGTTAAGTGTCAGTACTACGAAGCTATCCACAGTCACTGCTGCAAGAGTTCGAGCCTGAGCCAGGTTGCTGGTACAACAGTCCTGCTCCCCTCAGCCTATCTGCCTTTTCTGCTCCCCACTTTGTCTCTGGTGAATCCTCTCACCCCTCACGCCTCTGGCTAACAGTTCTCTGCATAAATAAATTTCAAAAAAAATCTAAAAGGAAGTAAAGAGGTGAGCCAGACATTACCTAAGGAGATGATATATTGCCAAGCAGAGCAAACAGCACATGAAAAAATCCTGACGCAGGTGTCCCTGGAATGCTCAGTGTTAATGAGGCTGAGCAAGGCAGAAAGTAGCAGGACATAAGGCCTCGGAATTAGGACCAGAAATTACAGGGTTCATAGTATGACTGTAAGGAGTCCAGCTTTTGCAAAATGAATAGCTGAAGGAGATTTTGAACAAGAGCACTTATGACCTTACACTTTTAGGGAAAAGCTATTCTCCCTGCTGTGCTGAAGAGTAGGCTATTGGGCTTAAGTATAGAGACAAGAAAACCAATTCAGACATGACGACATGACTTATGTCAGGGTTGCAGTTGGGCAGGTAAATTGAAAAATTGTATTTTGAATATATTTTCAGGATAAACACAACAGGGACTGAATGTGGGTTGTATAAAAAAGAGAAGACTGAAGGCTGATTACATGGGTTTCAACCACAAGTACTTGAAAGACAAGAGCTGATACTTACTGAGCTAAGAAGACTGTGGAAAGAACAGAATTTTTCGCTTGATTTGTGGTGTGTGTGTGTATAGGCGGGTATGTGTAGGGTGGAGATCAGAATGTTGGCTTTTGAATGTGTTAAGCTTGGCTGCTGCATTAAGAAAGTACATAATTACTTAGGAAGTGCACACAGTACTGTATGAGATGATATGTCTCGCAATAGAATATGAACTGAAGACAGAGTTCAAAGTTGAACTGACATGATTTGCTGACGATGAAATAAAGGATTAATGAGAGAAAATGAGGAAAATCAATGCTTTTGCCCAGGTTCCTGCTCTCAATAATGCAACATGGAATTCCTATTAACTGATATAAGAAGACTAGGAGGAACAAATTTGAGGGAAACCAATGATGTGAAAATGTCAAGTAAGTAAAACAGAGTTATGTGAGTTTGGAGTTTCAGTGAAAGGCCTGGACCAAAAAGATTCAGTTAGGAGCTATCTGTATGTAGGTAATATTTAAAACCATGAGACATTTTAAAAAAAATCACCAAAAGAGCCATTGTAGAGAGTAAAGAATTCCATGAACTAAGTCCTAGGATACTCTAATATTAGAAGATTAGAGATAGGGAAATGCAGCCAAGAAAAACATGAGACAAAGTTCACTGAAGTTGGGAAAAAAAAAACAATTTTGTTGTTATAAAGTCTGTGACAAATCACTTCAAATACATGCAGTGATCAATTATGTTTAATTCTGTTGATAGGTCAAATAAGATGAAGTTTGAGCATGACCACTGGGTTTAGCAATGTGGAAAATCATCCAGTGACTTTGAAAAGATAGGTTTCATTGAAGAGGTAAAGGCAGACTTACCAGAATGCTTTCAAGAGAGAAAGAAGGGGAGCAACTCAAGTTTGTTATAAAGGAAAGCAGAGAAGGCTGTTGGCGGCTGTACATCTAATAGAGAAAGGAAAAAAATAAACCTTAAGTAAAATAAAGAGTCCATTATACAGCTGTGACTATTGTGAAGAAAGGCAGAGCAGGAAAAGGGGACAGGGTGTCCCTGAGTGTGGGAGGAGGATACAAGGCTGATAGATTTATCTTTTTTTCTTTATAAAATTGTTTTTCAGATGGGAGAAATTACAGCAGGTTTATATACTGATTGGAGTAGTCTGGTAGTTAGGGGGAAACTATGATGCAGGAGAAAAGGGGAAGAAATGCCAAGGCAATGTGCTTGATTAGTTATGAAGGAATAAGACTCAGTCACAAGTCAGAATAGGCCTAAAAGGAGAAGAACTGTCCACATGAACAGGAATTAACATGTACCGTTAGAGAGATGATGGTTTGGCAAATTCCCTTCTGACTGACGTTTTCAGTGATACAGGAAGCATCACCACCAAGAGAGAGTGAGAGGAAAAAACCTACAGGAAGGTTGAGGAGAGTCAAGAAATGAGAGTTATCTGGAAAAGTGTTCATTCTTATTCAACTGTCTTTTTCTTGAAATGTCTGCCCTCTAACTAGTGGGCCCACGTCTTATCTTATCCTCCTATCTCTATCCAGATATCAAAGTTTATCTCACTCAGGCTCAGTTCTTCTTCCTTACAGTTCCTGCTAATTTAGCAAATTTTTTTTTTTTAAAGATTTATTTATTCGGACAGAACTGGGGTACAGGCCAGAGATGCGGAGGGTGAGAGGATTCACCAGAGACAGAGCGGGGTACAAAACAGGCAGATCGACAAAGTACACTGCTGAGGGGAGCAGCGGGCGGGTCAGGAGAGGTCTGCCGCGCCATGTGGTCTCCTCCGGGTCAGGAATCGAACTCATGCGGAAGTGGCTTAAGCTTCTTTGTGCTGTGCTTTAACCCGTTGTGCCACCAGGGAGGGCCCTAATTTAGCAAATTTACAGAATTTTCCCAACTTTTATTTTATACCCTGGTAAATTCAGGCAAACACTTGGATTCCTGGCTTCTTTCCAAAGCACATTCATTCAGCTCAAACAGGACTGAACTCAATTTAAACACTACCGTCATAAAAGGTCATGAGACTCAGGTTTCTTCCTTGTAGCTACCAGCTCTACCAGCATTCTCCTCCCCCTCCACCCCAAGTAAATTATTAGATACTACCTACATATGACCAATTACAAGGCAAAAACATACTCATTTTCAGGTGAGATTTATATTCATGGACAGAACGCAAGGGATGAAGACTTGAAAGTTCCCTAATCCTATGCAAAAGTCTATCTAGTCCTCTCATCATCCTACGGATATCTTGATGTCAGACAGGTCAATGTACCTATTTCAGAAAACCAAATTAAAAAAATAGATCAAAAAAAAAACTTAAGGTATGAGACCAGAGAAATGAATAAAAACAAATACAACTTATCCTAGGAATAAAGGTTGGTTTTACACTTGAAAATCAATACATCTAATACATGTTATTACTAGATAAAAGGCCAAAAAAAAAAAAAAAACCACAAAACCCACATAGTAATCTTAATAGATATAGTAAAAACAAAAAACAAAAAACAAAAAACAAAAAACCTGACAAAGTCTAGAATCCTTTCATCACAAAACTAATCAAATTAGTAATAGTAATAGAAGGGAATTTACATAACTGATAAAGGGCATCCAAGAAAAACCAAGTTGACACCATACTTAATGGTGAAAGACTAAATGCTTTGCCCCGCCCTCCCAACATCAGGAACAAGACAGACATGTCTACTTCATCATTCCCATTCAACACTGTACTGGATGTTCTACCCAGAACAGTTAGGCAAATCACAAGAGCTTATATAGAAAAAAACTCTAAGGGAACCCCTAAAAAACTATTAGAAGTAAAAAACGAGTTCAGCAAGGTAGCAGGATACGTGACACATGATCAATATATAAATACTAATTGTATTTCGATATACTTTTGAGGGAAACCCTGAAAAAAAATTTTAACACCCCAAAAAACCAAAATATTTTGGAATAAATTTAACAAAAGAAGTCTAAATTTTATGCTTAAAAAACTACAAAATATTGTTGGGAGAAATGAAAGACTGAAATGAGTGAAAAGACACTACTAGGAAGTAAATTAGAAAGATAAAGACAATACTCTAGGCTCTTCACATGAACGGAATCATACATTATTTGCCTTTCTGTGGCTGGCTTATGTAACTGAACAATGTCTTTATCAGATTTCATCCAACTTACAGAGTGTGACAGGTAATCTTTCTTTTTAAGGCTGAATAATATTCCATTATGTATAGATACCATATTTTGTTTATCTGTTCATCTGAGGGCCACTGGTGTTGCTTCTGTCTCTTGGATACTGTCAGTAATGCTACAATGAACATCGTCTACAGATATGTTTGAGGCCCTTCTTTCAATTCTTCTGAATATATAGATAGGACTGTTGAGTGAGGGGTACTTCTCTTTATAGTGACCAGGTGTTCCAAAATTTGATGGTGGTGCTGGCTGCATATTTCTAGAATATACTAAAAATCACTAAATTATACATTTCAAATGGGTTAATTGTATGGAATGAGTTGTATCTCAATAAAGCTGTTATAAAAAAACAACTCTCAAAGACTGAATATAGGATTTTGAATGCACAGGATAATTAAACTGGTTAAATAACCAAATAACTTTGACTCTTATTTTCAATGAACTGGCTAGATATTTAGGCATTTCTTGAGACAATTTAAGTGTTTCTTCAACATTGAATATTAGAGGAAGCAGGAAAATAAACTTTCATTACCTGTCTTTAATTCATAATATTAAAACGCTTCATATTTTGTTTCAGGAAATACTATAAAGAAATAGCAAGTTCATAATAATTACAGTAAATTTTATTTCATCTGCTCTTTAGATATACCATTCACCAGGTTTTTAAAAGACAGAGAAATAAGGCAGGTCTTTAGAGTTCAGATTTACCTTTGAAACGTCACAATTACTGTAAACAGAAGATAAAATCTACCCTTTTTTGCATAAAAAATTTAGAAAATCAAAAAGTTGTATGTCCAATGTCACTGACCATGGAAAGGGCAATAAATTTTAAAAGTTAATTAAAATTTTAAAAACAGGAGAAAAAATAGGCATCAAATTCAGATTCTCTCTCACTGTTACAAACAACTAGAAAAGCTAATAGCAATAGACAAGACACCAATGCTTAAAACTCATTTTGCTTCACCATTTTCTTTTCAGCATTACCCAGACATTTTCAATTTTGTTAAGACTCAAAGACACAGCTTTATAAAGATGATGAGATAATCTAAAAGATTTCTCATGATCTTTTCTTTTTATCAGAGCAGAGTTAAAATAAGAGAGAACTTCCTGAATTGCTAACTTTAAAACAACAGGTTCCATATCATTTACCACAAAAAAGAGGTAAGCTTGTAAATCAGCTTTCTGTGCTGGTCCCAAGGTGCGGCTGAAACAGTGGCTACCGTCTCATTGCTGATAGGGTTGTTGTTTGGGACAGTCCTTTTCAGATTACATTTAAACACTTCAACAGCTTTTCTTAAATAGTCTCTCAGGGTTGATTTTAAGGAAAGGTGAAATACTAACAGTTGATTTCAGATTCTTATTACAGATTTTTCAAAGTCTGTCTGCATGCTGAAGCAGAATTATGAATGGCTACTCGAAGAGCTGAGTTCCCCTCAGGAATATCACAGGAATTGATGACTGACTGTAGAGCCCGAGTATACGCTGCAAATAAAGATTTGTACAGTGAAGTCAGATTCTAAACAACTCTCCTACCCTCTTTCCTATTAGTACTTCTTTTCTACTTTGGATAAATCCATTGGATAAATATTTATTGAGTACTTTACTACCTGCTAGGTACTCTGTGAGAACAAAAAAGACAATGGAAAGAATGGGCACGAAAATGATTAAATTGCAGTGTAATACTTTGAGGCTAGGTGCATATACAAGTGTTATAAAAGAATGGAGTTCAGAATGAAGGTAAAGGAAAAGGTGAAAAAGATTTCCAGAGTTGTAACATTTCCGATGATCTTAAAGGGTAAAGGAAGGAAAGTAGATATTCTAGGCAGAGCGATTAGTGTGTAAAGTGTAAAACATATTTTAACAAAGGTGAAATATACTGGGAATAGGAAGTTTGCTAAAGCCGAGCATCACCCACAGAGAGAAACATGCCAATTATGCCATGCCTATGGTACCGCCATGGGGCGAATAGAGGTTTTAGAATAGGAGACTAGCATGGCCAAATTTGTTTTTAAAATAAGTAACTCACAGTACTTTGAAGAAACTCGTATTCCACAAAAGGGGCACTAGGGATACAAATACTGGTAGCATTTTCGGTGTGTAAATGAAGGTTATGTTATCTCTACACTACATAAATCAATATTTGTAAGGACATAAAAACTGTTGCTAGAAGAGACTTCCGTTCTCTCTAGTTGGGACTCCTGATAGAGATAGGGTTTAACGCTGGAACTCATTTTCCTCACTGTCCCCTGGCAAACTAGCATTCTAATGGGGACCTTAAGGGGCCTAAGTAAAGTATTAGGATAACAGGGAATTCAACTGAACAGAGGTCTAACTGAATGACCATAAAGGCAGCTCTGATATATTTATTTATTATGCATATGTAATTATCATTATGTTCTTCCATCATGCTCAGAGTTGTTTGATAAAGGGGTTATATAGTCTGACATATATATTTTAGGCACTCAATAAATGTTAAACTACTGCTATCACTTTTTTTACTGTCCCCAAATTTATTATCCTCTATGAAACTTACCTCTGTAGTTTTTATAGAAAATACAATTGTTGGCACAGGTGTCAGGATGAGTGTCCAAAAACTCAGGACCACAGCAGCACAGTGGAGGTAAAGTAATATTATACAGTTGCATTTTCTCCTGTATCTGGGCCCTTAAAGCTTCTACATACCTAAAAAATAAAAAAATAGTATTAATCCTGATCAGCAAAGAATGTGCATAAGCCCTTATTTTACTACCAGCTTTAACTGTTAAAACTATTTCATATCTCTGTGTGCTGACTCTTTGCTGTACTGGGGAAAATATAGTCCTATTCCTCAGAGGCATCAGGCAATCAAAACATTTGGTGAAATTCTGCACTCCCAAGTAAGGAAAGGTATGAAGACACAGCCAACTCTCTTTTAAGGAAAATGAGAACACTGACATCCTATCTAGTCTTGCATAATCGCAGGCAGAACTTTTCAAATACCGTAGGTTTTCCTTTTCTTCCTGCTGTTTCTCTCTGGCTTCTTTCATTTCCTCAAGTTGTAGCTGGGCTAATACTTCACTCATCTTCTCCCCTGATGGTGGCTCTTTATGAGAGTTCATCCTTAGTATCCTCTGCTCTTCAGCATAACGTTGCTGCTCTTTCTTTTTCTTAATTCTGAGAATAAAATTAAAAAATGGTCAGAAATTTCATAAAATTATTATTTAGAATTTGTTCTAGATCAACTAACTGAAGAAATTCCCAGGAATAAGGAAATCTGTTTAATATCCCTTAGCATAGCCTCAAAAACTTCTGCTGATTGATTCTTATCCCACAGTTTATACACATACATAGATTTTCAAATGGAAACCACCAATGGATATTAATAAGAGTTTTTCTGTATGGATTCTCATACAAGAGCTTTCTCTAGTTAGAGAAAACAATAGACAGGACTTAACGATTTTGAATGAAACAGCGTAACAGAGACCAGATTTGCCTTCTCACCTTAAACAACCAGATAACTAAATAAAAAAAATCAACCAAATATACAAAATACAAAAATAATGGTTTTCAAGACACTGAACATTACAAGAGGAAAGGCAGCGGGTGTGTGGACACCCTGAGTAAGTGGTAGTAGTAGTTTAGCACTTAATGAGTACTTACGACATGCTAAAGACATGTTATAGATTATAACCCCTTTACCAAATAATTCTGAGGCATGCTGGGAAAACATAAATGATAATTATCTACACATGATAAACATAAAATACGTATCAGAGTTTGCCTTTTATGGTCATCTCACTTAGGCCTCTGTTTAGGTGAATGGAGCTGTAAGTCCCAGACATAAGAGCAGCCAGAGTTCATAGATCAGAACAGCAGAGGAGAGTGCGTTGAGAGCCCCTTAGATCTACAGATCTACAGATACTTAGATCCTCCTACTATGCAACAGAGTACTGTGCGTGTATGTCAGGAAATGACCAGGAAAGGTTAAGGACAGAACCAGGTAAAGGGTAAGAGTGAACAGTGCCCTGTGCTCACACAGAGGTGAGAAAAGTATCTGTTCCCTCTAGCCAGACTGCAACAACTCATAATTCACAGAGCATCGGTAATTTTCAGGAAGGTTTTATTTTGGTAGTAAGGAACAGTAATTCCAGAAAGAGCTCTGCTCCAGATATACTTAACAAGCTATAAAAGTAAGCCCCAAAGTACCTTAACAAAATCCAAAAACAAAGCTCAGGAAAATATATAGGGATACAAAGATATTCAGCAACCAACAAGATGAAATTTACAGTGTTGAACACCAAATCAAAGAGTATCAGGCACATAAAGTTAAGGCAGAAAAATACAATTCATAATGAAGAGAATATCTAGGTGAAAATGAACCTAGAATTGATAGTTAATAGAACTATTAACTATTGGTAGTTAATAAAATTGATAGTTCTATTAACTATCAATTTGTTAAGTTATTACAGAAAACAAGTAATTACAACTATATATATTTAAACAGCTAAGATATAAGACTAAAGAGAGGCTGGACCCAAATCACAGAACAGAGCATTTACACTCAATCTCCCATGATGACTACAAATCTACACCTAAATGTGGACTAATCTACACAGAAACAGATCTGAATCCCAACTGAACAGAGCTTCCAGAACAAAGGATAAAAAGGCAATACCCACAAGGGAAGAACTAGAGACACTCTTGCCAAGGAAGAAATCTTATTACAAAGAAGCATAGATAGGAAGATATCATAAAGGTGCAAAACTTTAAGCGGTGGTTTAAGCAATTTACGGTGGGAACACAAATCTGGCCCCAATCAAGCCACTTCTCTGCAGCTAAACAAGATCTCCCGAAACACAGAAGACTAGGGAGTAGACATGGTTACTAGCCATGCTCCTCTGACAGCCCAAGGCCTGTGACACTCTGCTCCCATGCTCCCCACCCCCTACCTGCAACCTACATTAGACAGGTGGGACCCACAGCCACCACAAACCCCATGCACTGCAGCAGAGGCACACCAGAAACTCCAAGCCCATGCACCTACTGCTATGGGGGTAGCAGCCTGCTGCCCCCCACATTTCAGCACTGACAGCAGTTTGGCAGCAGCTGCTGGCCAGGGTGTCCACAGGCCTGCTCTGCTGCAAAGTCCACTGTGCCAGCAAGTCCAGTTATGTCTGCAAGGCCTGCAGTGACGCTCCAGTAAAGCAATATCATCTACAACTGCAAGGCTCGTCTTTCTGCCAGACTTACCCACAAGGCTCCTACCACCAGGTCCCACACAGCTACCCCCTCTTGAGACTGCGCTGCTGCTGACCCGTGAACACCAGCATGGTAGGCAGCCCAAACAAACCCATGCACTGCCAGCAGCATCTCCAGGCAGCCACAAGTTAGGCTGGACCACAGCACCACCCACCGAGGACATATTAGCTCCAGAGTTGAGACAAACCCAACCAAAGCACACTGCCTGCCTGACAAGACTGACAGCCCCAGACTGCCCACACACATCAAGTAGGTCATAAACTAGGAGAAAATATTTGCAGAAGGTATGACTGATAAAGAAATGGCATCTGAAATATACAAAAAATTCTTAAGCAACAATAAGAAAATAAACCTGATTTTTAAATCGGCCAAAGATCTAGACAGATACCTCAGCAAAGAAGACACACAAATAGCAAATAAGTATATGTAAAGATCAGATGTCATTGGGGAAATGGAAATTAATACAAAAACTAGATGCTTCTGCACTCCTAGAAAGAGCAAAATCTAGACTGCTGATAGTAACAAATACTGACAAGGATGTGGAACAAGAACTCTCATTCACTGCTGGTAAAAATACAAAGTGGTCCATCTGCTTTACTGAACACACTCTGACTACATGATCCAGAAATCACACTACTTGGTACTTAATCAAAGTTGAAAATTATGTCCACATAAACCCAATCCAAGGAGTATATTTATTCATAACTGCCATATCTTGGGAGCAACCAAGATGTGCTTTAGTAGGCGAAGTGGCTATGGTATATCCAGATAGTGGAATTACTACTCAGTGCTAAAAAGAAATAAATTAAAAGTTATGAAAAGACACGGAAGAAACTTAAATGCATGTTACTAAGTGAAAGAAGTCAATATGAAAAGACTATATAAGATGTAGTTCCTACTATATGACATTCTGGGAACAGCAAAACAATGGTGACAGTGAAAAGATGGGGGTTGTCAGGAACTGGGGGGGAGCGGGGTGACTAGGCAGAGCATGAAGTTTTTTTAGTGCACTGAAACTATTCTATACCATACCATAGTGATGGATACATGTCATTTATACTGGCTCCAGACAGTGTAATCAGACAAGAAGGAGAGAAAATTTAAAGATTTAAAGAAATAAAACTGTCTTTGTTTAAAGATGTCATGATCACTATGTAAAAATATCCAACAGAATTAAGTAAGTAATACTTAATAAAGTTACAGGGTATAAGATTCATGTCCAAAAATTAACTGTTTTCCATATACTAGCTACATAAACATCAGAAAATTGAAACTTTAAAAAGTGCCATTCACAATAGCATCAAATACATGAAATACTCACAGATAGGGGATTAGAGATTTGAAAGACTTCTACACTGAAAACTGTAATTGATAAAAAGTAAAGACAACTTAAATGGAGAGATTATAATTTGTTCATGGTTGGGACTTGGTAGCATTGGTCCATTCTCCTCCAAATTACCTATAGAGTCAACACAACCCCAATCAAAGTCCAAGGCTGTCTTGCAGAAACTGACAAATTAATTTTATCTGACATACAATAACTAAGACAATTCTGGGGGTAAAAATTGGATAGCTAACACGATCTGATTGTAAGCATTATTGTAAAACTACATTAACCAGGATATTTATGGTATTAACACAAAGAGAAATGAATAGGACAGAAGAAAAAGTCCAGAAATAAATCCACACACATGTGGACAACTCATTTTTAAAAATATCTTCATATACAATTTATATACCATAAAATTCCCATCATCACAATGCAATATGAAAACATTTAATTACCTCCAAAAGAAACACATACTTATTAACATTCACTCTCCACTACCTCTTCCACAGTCCTAGACAACCACTAGACTAGAAAAGGTTGTCTAGGACAACCTTTCTATCTATAGTCACACATTTGCCTGTTCTAGACATTTCATAGATATGGGATCATACAATATATGGCCCTTCAGGACTTTCCTTTCATTTAGTATGTTTTTAAAATCTACTGATTTTAAAAGGCTACTCATGATGTAGCCTGTATCAGTATTTCATTCCCTTTTATTACCAATATTCTACTGTAAAATATAATTCCATTTAAAAATTTGTATGCAAATGCTCACAATAGCTTTTTTGATAATAGCTGAAAACTGGAAACAATCCAAATGCCTATCATCATGTGAATGGATATAAAGACTGTTGTATAGTCATGCACAGCTTAACAACAGGGATACATTTTTTTTAAATATGTTTTTTTTATTAAAAAGTTTATTTTTACATCATTTTGCATATTTTTTTTTCATCTCAATTGTAATCCCCACGGGTTTCCCATCACCAAATCACCCCTGTGCCACCACCATAGTCCCATGCATTTTCCTCCCTTCCCCCCCCGTTTTTGATCCCATTCCCCACTCCACCCCCACAGAATGTCTCTGGTCTATGGTTGTTCATTATTTTTGTTATTTTCTCGCCTGGTCCATTATACTCCTGCTATGAGTGAGACCATCCGGTATTTTTCTTTCTCTTTCTGGCTTATCTCACTAAGCATGATCTTTTCCAGCTCCATCCAAGTTGCTGCAAAAGACATGTGTTTCTCTTTTTTGGTTGTTGAGTAATATTCCATTGTATATATGTACCACATCTTTCTAATCCAGTCATCTACTCTTGGGCATTTTGGCTGCTTCCATGTTTTTCCAATTGTAAATAAAGCAGCAATAAACATGGGGGTACAAGGGGATACATTTTTTTTAAATAATATAATGGTTTATTTTTACATCATTTTTGTGCCTTTTTCCGTCTCAGTTGTAATCCCTATGGGTTTCTCATCACCAAATCACCCTGTGCCATCACCACCATAGTCCAGTGCACTTCTCTTCCCCCACCGTTTTTGATCCAACAGGGACATATTTTGAGACTACATGGTTAAGCGA